GCCAACCGCGCTTGGCACTAACGCCAGGACACTGCAGCACCAGCGACTCACAACTGCGGGGAATGCGCGGGTGACGCCTGACAGCGGCAACTGCTGGCTTACTGTGTTGGCCTGTACTGCACTTGTCCACCACATAGCAGACGTAACCACGAATTGAATGCTTGTGGTACTGCACTTGTCCACCAGAGGGCACATCTGGAATGTTCTTCTGATATTAGGAAGTCACCGGAGCTACGCATTTTTAAAATGTAGATTGAAAATACATTTTCTTGAGAACTGCTTTTGTGCTTAGTTTGTTGTCCTTCCCCCGCACCTCCGATGAGCATGGTTGGCTATGTACGGTGTGAAAGAAGTTCAACATACACACCAACATGGACACTCGCTAAATAACCTAACCATCATGGACACTCGCTAAATAACCTACCCATCATGGACACTCGCTAAATAAACTAACCAACATGGACACTCGCTAAATAACCTAACCAACATGGACACTGGATAAATAACCTAACCATCATGGACACTCGCTAAATAACCTAACCAACATGGACACTCGCTAAATAACCTAAACAACATGGACACTCACCAAATAACCTAAACAACATGGACACTCGCCAAATAACCTAACCATTATGGGCACTCGCTAAATAACCAAACCATCATGGACACTCGCTAAATAAACTATCATGGACACTCGCTAAATAACCTAACCATCATGGACACTCGCTAAATAACCTAACCATCATGGACACTCGCTAAATTACCTCACCATCATGGACACTCGCTAAATCACCTAACCATCATGGACACTCGCTAAATAACCTAACCAACATGGACACTCGCTAAATAACCTAACCATCATGGACACTCGCTAAATAACCTAACCAACATGGACACTCGCTAAATAAACTAACCAACATGGACACTTGCTAAATAACCTAACCAACATGGACACTCGCTAAATAACCTAACCATCATGGACACTCGCTAAATGACCTAACCATCATGGACACTGGCTAAGTAACCTAACCATCATGGACACTCGCTAAATAACCTAACCATCATGGACACTCGCTAAATTACCTAACCATCATGGACACTTGCTAAATAACCTAACCAACATGGATACTCGCTAAATAACCTAAACATCATGGACACTCGCTAAATAACCTAACCATCATGGACACTCACTAGATAACCTAACCATCATGGACACTCGCTAAATAAACTAACCATCATTGGCACTCGCTAAATAACCTAACCATCATGGACATTCGCGAAATAACCTAACCAACATGGACACTCTCTAATTAACCTAACCATCATGGACACTGGCTAAATAACCAAACCAACATGGTGCTGTATCGCCACCGTGTGGTCACATGGTACAACTGCAGTGCCTCGGCGCGGTAACAGCAGCAGTGGCACTGTGCGGTGTCTTCACGGCTTCATTGCAGCCAACCGCGCTTGGCACTAACGCCAGGACACTGCAGCACCAGCGACTCACAACTGCGGGGAATGCGCGGGTGACGCCTGACAGCGGCAACTGCTGGCCTACTGTGTTGGCCTGTACTGCACTTGTCCACCACATAGCAGACGTAACCACGAATTGAATGCTTGTGGTACTGCACTTGTCCACCAGAGGGCACATCTGGAATGTTCTTCTGATATTAGGAAGTCACTGGAGCTACGCATTTTTAAAATGTAGATTGAAAATACATTTTCTTGAGAACTGCTTTTGTGCTTAGTTTGTTGTCCTTCCCCTGCACCTCCGATGAGCATGGTTGGCTATGTACGGTGTGAAAGAAGTTCAACATACACACCAACATGGACACTCGCTAAATAACCTAACCATCATGGACACTCGCTAAATAAACTAACCAACATGGACACTCGCTAAATAACCTAACCAACATGGACACTCGCTAAATAACCTAACCATCATGGACACTCGATAAATGACCTAACCATCATGGACACTCACTAAATAACCTAACCAACATGGACACTCGCTAAATAACCTAACCATCATGGACACTCGCTAAATAACCTAACCATCATGGACACTCGATAAATGACCTAACCATCATGGACACTCGCTAAATAACCTAACCAACATGGACACTCGCTAAATAACCTAACCATCATGGACACTCGCTAAATAACCTAACCATCATGGACACTCACTAGAAAACCTAACCATGATGGACACTCGCTAAATAAACTAACCATCATTGGCACTCGCTAAATAACCTAACCATCATGGACACTCACTAGATAACCTAACCAACATGGACACTCGCTAAATAAACTAACCAACATGGACACTCGCTAAATAACCTAACCAACATGGACACTCGCTAAATAACCTAACCATCATTGACACTCGCTAAATGACCTAACCATCATGGACACTCGCTAAATAACCTAACCATCATGGACACTCGCTAAATAACCTAACCATCATGGACACTCGCTAAATAACCTAACCATCATGGACACTCACTAGACAACCATCATGGACACTCGCTAAATAAACTAACCATCATTGGCACTCGCTAAATAACCTAACCATCATGGACATTCGCGAAATAACCTAACCAACATGGACACTCTCTAATTAACCTAACCATCATGGACACTGGCTAAATAACCTAACCAACATGGTGCTGTATCGCCACCGTGTGGTCACATGGTACAACTGCAGTGCCTCGGCGCGGTAACAGCAGCAGTGGCACTGTGCGGTGTCTTCACGGCTTCATTGCAGCCAACCGCGCTTGGCACTAACGCCAGGACACTGCAGCACCAGCGACTCACAACTGCGGGGAATGCGCGGGTGACGCCTGACAGCGGCAACTGCTGGCCTACTGTGTTGGCCTGTACTGCACTTGTCCACCACATAGCAGACGTAACCACGAATTGAATGCTTGTGGTACTGCACTTGTCCACCAGAAGGCACATCTGGAATGTTCTTCTGATATTAGGAAGTCACTGGAGCTACGCATTTT